GAGGTGGTGGAGAATGACCGAGCTAAGATCCTGTGGGACTTCCAGATACAGACAAAATGGTGGTGGCTCACCAGCCAGACATAGTGGTGGATTAACAAGCAGAAGAAGACGACCGTAGTGATCGATGTAGCGATACTGAATGACCGCAACATCAGGAAGAAAGAACGCAAAAAGCTTGAGATGTACCAAGGGCTCAGAGAAGAACTGGAGAAGATGTGGAGGGTGGAGGTAACAGTGGTACCTGTACCTACAAGTGGTAATTGGAGCGCTAGGTGCGGTGACTCCCAAGCTAGGTGAGTGGCTCCAGCAGATCCCAGGAACAACATCGGAGATCCTTGTCCAGAAGAGCGCAGTCCTAGGAACAGCAAAGGACCTTTGTTGTCTTGATGTCAGCAGCTTGTGTCTCCTCCTTTGACCAGCTTGTTATCCCACTTTGTTACTATCAACTGCACTTCTCCGGTCTGAATGACATTCCAATGTCACTGCTGCAGATCCCAGTGGTGTGGGTCAGTGAATCGATGTCTCAATAACTCCTGGCATATAGCTTGATGTTGTTGGTATTAGAAGCCAGTCTTGTTAATCGTCTCACTGAAGGGGTTCAGGCCTATGCAGAACAGCAGTGGGTACAGGGCAGATCCTCAGTATATCCTGCATTTGATGGTGACTTGTGTATTTGGGTTGAATTTGACCTCAAGTGTTTTTTGCCACATCCCCATCAAATTCCTGATGAAGGCTCTTGAGGTCATGTTGATGTCGAAGGCATTCCAGCATCCATGTGTAAGCCACTGAGTTATATGTTTTTGGGCGGTGCACTGGTTGGTCAGTCTGGTCTTACAGTCTTGAGTGACAACTCAAGACTACCAGGGGCTGGGACCCTCTGGTGTTTCTGCCGGTTCCTTCCTGAGCCCCGCTTTTGCTAAATTCTTATACCTAATAATGAATGCAATCTGTAAGTTGCTACAGTGGACAATGAAACAGACAGTAACAACAATCCCCCTGCAGTTTCTCCAGAAACGGTCATTTTGATTTCAATCTGTTTCTGTTTTAACCATCTGTTCCCCACATGGTTAAAGCTTGCTTCCAGGTTGTTAATTAGAAGGTCTAACCCAGATGGATTTAATGTGTTTATGAATGGTAGCAATATCTTGATGAAACGCCTGTAGTCATGTAAAGTACATGCTAATTTCTCCAAGGTCAACCTTTCTTGCTATATTCAGTAGAGGCATATTCAGCTTTGCACTGTCAGTAGTTTATACACTTGGTGCAGCTGTTGCTAAAATTTAGTGAAAGAGTGATGACCTCATATCATATCCAAACTGATAATCTTTACCTTTCACTTAACTTAAAAAATATCTCAAAGCCTTTTAGGGCTATGAATATGTAATATTTTCAACAAAAAAGGGAAAATGTACAACTATAATTAAATTAAATAAAAATTCAATTTATACAATGTCAGTTCATAGCAACGGGTTCTTCAATGGCTATATACTGTAAAAAAAAAGACCTTAATGAATTTAAGATGATCCCCATTAACAAGTATTTGGTGACAGTAGTGCAGAAGAAATCCTTTTAACAAGAAGAGACTTCAGGAAGATGCTCAGGGAATGGCAGCCATAATTCTCTGCTGAGACAAGGTTAATTAAATGTCAGTTGCTCTCTTAGCATCTGTTTCTGTGTCACTTAAACAACTTTATATTTCTCTCAATCCCTGATTTCTTTCCTCAGGGTCTTTTTAGAAGAAAGGTCTCTATTGCCAACATGTTGGCCTGGAGCAGTGAGCCTATCAAGAAGCCCATGATTGTGACTTCAGACCGCAGCGTGAAAAAGGAGGCAGTCGAGATCTTCAAACTCATCCAGACCTACATGGGAGACCGTCGCTCCAAGGCCGACCCCCTTTCTGTGGCTCTGGAGGTGAGTTTTTCTAACTTTCTCATTATGTCCTTATAAATAATTTTATTTCAGCACCT